CAGATAGGATTAGGTTTGGCTTTATAGTAGCTTAAAAATGCACAATTTAATCATGGCTTAGAACACACACACAGGGGGCACCTGGGTGGCTCGGTCAGTTAAGCGTCTGCCTTTGGCTCAGGTCATGATCCTAGGGTCATGGGATCGAGCCCCAAGTCGGGCTCCCTGCTCAGTGGGGAGCCTGCTTTTCCCTCTCCCTGTCCCCTACTTGTGCTCTCTCTCGCTCTCTCTCAAATAAATAAATAACATCTTAAAAAAAAAAAAAAAGAACACACACACTCAGTTATCCTGCCATGTAAAAGCCTGGAGGCTGGCTATCCAGGGCTGGTAAAGTATGAGAGACCCAGATCCGTCCCATCTTTTCTCTCTGCTATTCCTAGATGTGGCCCTCATCCACATGGTCCAAGGTGGCTACTGAAGCTGAACCATTCTATCCACCACACCCAGCAGGCAGGAACCAGAAGTGGGCAGCCCTCCCCACGCCCAGCTTTGTGGACATGTGACCGTGCGATTGCCTAAAGCCCCTCACTCAGAAGAGTCCACACTTATTTTAAAGATGGACTATCACCATCTTGAAATTCTGAATAACATTATCTTTGAACCTGTATTTTGTAAGCGAAATTCAATGGGACAACGGAGTGTGTACATGAGCAGAGGAGATAAATGCGATATGCGTGTCATCAGCCCTTGCAGACCTTGTTCTAATACAACATAGGTCATGCCTGCTACACATCTTTCATAAAATGCTTGTAGTGTGCTCAGATCCACACAATCTTCTGATTGGGCCTCCATGCAAGCATTAATTTAATTCTTTGTTCTTCCTGTTTTGAATATTTAATTGATTTTATGTAGGATGTACAATATGCGTGCCTCCTCTTCCTTGACACCCATTTGCATATGCATATAGTGTTTGCAATGTACTGGGAGCACAGATTTCCAGTGCACCCACAATGTGTGGGATTTCAGCAAGATTCCAAGCAAGGACAAGGTAAGCATGTTATGTCCATGTCTGAGTAAGCAGGAGCTGACAGCTCCAAGAGGACAGGCTTTCCATTCAAACCAGAACTTGTTTGAAATGCAGAAAGAAGGCAGTGGCATTCTAAGAAACACAGAGGACCAAGGACCTATTGTATCCTTATTTACTTGTGTTACGTACCCGTATTAGTCGATCACTCACTTTGAAAATGATGACAGATAAAAGATAGGGGAACCCATAGTTCATTTTACATTCAGCCCCTCTTTACTAGTCAGTAAGGTGAAGGTAGAGAATGTTGGTACAATGTGAGCACATCAAGAGGTAAAATTGAAGTGCTAGTTCTATACAATGTTTCCACTCTTAGGTATGAGTAAAATACAAATGCATGCCCAATCTATAAAATATAAATTGTATAATTCCTGTGATTTTGCGTAAGAGTTAAATGCTTTTAGATTTTGTGTTTAAAACTGGCATTGCACAATATAAAGATGAATGGTAGAGGTCATACTAATAGTATGAAATTTTAATTTTGCTTTACTTAAAATGTCATTAAATAGCAAATAAAAAAACACTATGACAAGTAAAGAGAGAGGCCTCCAGAGAAAAAGGAACACTTTAATATTTTAGTACCTGTAGTAGTACTTTTTTCCTGCCTTTTGAACAAGGGGATCCTGTGTTTTTATTTTACCCTGAATCCTGCAAATTATGTAGCTGGCCCTGGCAGCACATTGCCCCAGGAAGCCATATGGGACCAGTCTCACCTCTCATGTTAACTGAGAGGAGCCGACACCCCTCTCATCACAGCAGAGGTCCAGAGGATCCAAGGATCCTGAGGGTCCCCACTTCAGTGGATATGGCAAGGGTCCTTACTTACCCAGATAGCCAGACGACATCTTGAGGAGAGGAAAGGAAAGGGACAGAGCTCAGGGTTTTCCAAGAGTCTACGGAAATCAGCCACATGAGGGAGTTCAACTCCAAGTAGATTGAACGCTCCAGTTGAAAAGAGATGGTCTATTGTTACAAGGCAAGCCCAGGCTTCCCCACTACGCAATAGGGCGGGTCTGCTAGGGAAGATCCCATTTTCTCCGCAGATCTGATGAGGTGTATACACTTACAAGCCTGCTACCCTCTGGATCCAAGCCACTTTCTGTCTGAAATACCCTCCTTCCTGCTTCCCCTTCCCTTCTTCCATCCCCTAGTCCTGGGACCCTTGGTTACAGGCTAACTTCTCACCTTGCTGCACTCAGCTCAGGTGTCTCCTCACTCTCTTCCAGCGCTCGCTGCAACCTGCACCTGCCTAGTTTCAGAGAAGCAGTTTGAGGGACAGCGGGCATGGCACTCGCCATAGGGCCCACGGGCCCAGAGTGGAGGCTTCCTGCGGCTCACTTACTGTCTTTGAGCCTGTTTCTCCCTATGGAAAATGGGGGTGGGAGGGGATAACACTAGACCCACTGACCTTCCAGGATTTTTAAAAATTTAGTTTTTGAAAAGGTACTACACGTACACCTAGTACACAAGGCAAATAAGTGTATACAACGAAAAGTCACTCTCCTTCCCCATTCTCTCCTCCAGACTCCCAGTTGGCTTCTCCAAAGACAGTCCCTGTCACTAGTTGCGTTAGCTTCCCTCCATGTGCGAACATATTGTACGTCATCACCTATGCAGCATTCTGAGGGAGAATGCATAATCAGACTATAAGGAAGCATCAGATAAACCCAAAATATTGTTTTTTAAAAAGTGGTGGTTATAAAGCATCAATGTCACAAAACACAAAGAAAAGCACAGATTTCCAGTGCACCCACAATGTGTGGGATTTCAGCAAGATTCCAAGCAAGGACAAGGTAAGCATGTTATGTCCATGTCTGAGTAAGCAGGAGCTGACAGCTCCAAGAGGACAGGCTTTCCATTCAAACCAGAACTTGTTTGAAATGCAGAAAGAAGGCAGTGGCATTCTAAGAAACACAGAGGACCTTAATTCTGTGTTCCAGAATTAAGAAGGCTGGTAGATTAGATAAAAGCATTGTATTCATGTCAAAGTTATCAAAGTTGGTATAAGTGTACTGTGGCTATGTCAGAGAATCCCTTATTAGAAAATACATACTGCTGTATTTAGGGGTAAGGGGCCATTATGGATATAATTTACTCCCATATGATTCAGGAAAAAAAACGTGTGTGTGTGTGTGTGTGTATGTACGGGTGGGTGTGTTTGTATATGAGAGGCAGACAGAGGGCATAAATCATAAAGCAAATGGGGTAAAATGTTAACAATAGGTGAATCTGGTAAAGTATTGATGAATATTCTTGTATTATTTTTATTTTTGCAATGTATGTCTAAGTTTGAGATTATTTTCCCTAAAAAGCTGACGTTCATATTCGCAGGTTCCCTATTTGCAAATTCACCTACTCGCTAAACTTTAACCTCGACAGCAATATTCAAGCATGTCCACAGTCATCTGCAGACTTTTACAGAGATGTGAAAGATTTAAGTTGCCCAACCCACATGTTCCCTGCTGAGGTCAAACGAGGCGGCGTTCTGCCTTCTGGTTTCGGCTCTCATACTATAAATAACTGTCCTTTTTGCAGTCTATTCAGTGTCATGTTTTTCACATCTTTGTGCTTTCTGTTGATGATTTTGCTGTTTAAAATGGCCGGCAATCACAGCGCTAAAGTGTCGTCTAGTGCTCCTACGAGCAGGAAGGCTATGATGTGTCTTCTGGAGAAAATACATGTGTTGGACGAGCCTCTTTCAGGCATGAGCCCTAGTGCTGTTGGCTGTGAGTTCAATGCTTATAAGTCAACAATATATATTAAATAAGATGTTTTTAAACAAAAACACACATAAAATCAGGTTATATGTGTATTGGTCAGTTGATGAAAATGTGACCAAGGTTGGCAGGAACCTAACCTTGTATTTCCTCTGGGAGCAACAGTTTAGTATCTGCTAATTCAGTGTTTGTGGCAACTTCATAGAACATAACTACCGTGAATAACAAGAATCAACTGTTCACATACGTGTATTTCCTGCACAAATGACAGATACAATGCACTGTTCTGTACGTCATATTTTTAAACACTAGTTTTAGAGATCATGCTATTATATTCATTCTCTTGAACAGATGTCTGGTATTCCCCACATGGATGTATCCTAACTGATCTAACCAGTTCTCTAATGACAGAGTTTTGGCTTTTGCCTTTTCAAAATGCAAAGCTAATCATGTCACAGTCCTGAGTGAAGTGCTTCCATGGCATCTCCTGGCTCTTGGGATAAAAACTGAAGTCCTTAATCATGACCTGCTGGACACCCTCACACAGCATCCTTCATCTGCTTGTCTCTTCTCCAGCCTTCTTCCGCCCCCTGGTATTATCCACATTCCCTCTGCCACAGAGCATTTGCACTAGCTTTCCTCACAAAACAGTTTCCCCATCTCTCACCCCTGACCTGATCAACTACCCTCTTCCCTCAAACCTCAGCTTCACAGATCGGTTTTTGTTTACTAATGAATCCTTGGGCCTCGCACAGAACTGGCATATAGAAGATGCTCAGTATACTTTTGCTGAACAATGGAAGGAATGAAGCAGAAGGCAGGCAGGGAGGGAAGCCAGCTGGTAAGGATTATGTTTACGTGGGTCTCTTATTGACCAAACACTTGGTCTGAAACTTCATGGAACAGAAACCGTACAGCTGCCGTATCTTCTCCTCTCAAGCTCTCAGTTCATTAGCACTGAAGTGATTTTTGTTGGATTCAACAAGTAATGATGATGGAAAATTGGTGAGTTTTTCTGAAAAATTGCTGAACTTTTCTGTGCTAGTTCCTCACCATGAAAAGAAGGTGATAATGTCTGGCTCTGGCTTGTTGTGAGTAACACACCTAGAACTTAGCACACATTGTAGGGGCCTTCCCCTCCCCCAACTCCAACAATCCAGAAGAGGTTGGCCTGTTCTCTAAGAACATTCTCAGCATATTGGCTCAGAACAAAAAATGTGAGTACAGAACAAAAATACTGAATACAAAGATCCACTTACTGTCACCATTGCCCCATAGGCCATCTTCTACTCTTCTTCGAGCCAAGAAGTGTCCACTAGAGCCAAGCTAAGGAGAAGAAACCAAAAAGGAAGTGTCATGTCAATGTGTTTTCCCATCTCCCCAGGGGCTGATCACTGTGTCCCTGAGCAGGAAGGGAAGGAGCTCTTTTAGGATTGTCACTGGCCTTTGGCTCCTTTCTACCTTTGAGTGACTAATTCTATTTTCACGGATTCTCTAAAACTATATGAAACTTGTGGTTAAACCCACATCCTTCCCCTATGCCAAATGGCCCCCACCCACATCCTCCCAAGTTTTGGTTGCAAAATGAATCAAACTAGTTCACAGAAAAGGCCTGAGAAAGAGAGAGAGAGAATACACGGGGGACCCTCTGTACTAGAATCCAACCAACAGCTTCTCACCATCACCACCCCTCACCTCGGTCTGAACCACCTTCATTTCTTGCCTGGTTTATTGCAACACCCTAGCTGATCCAGCTTTCACCTCTAGCCCTAATCTGTCTCCATGTATAGGATTGCCAGATAAAATACAGGACACTCTGTTAAATTTGCATTTCAGACAAACAACAAATCATTTTTTAGTGTAAAGATGTCACAGATACTATATGGGATACATTTCTACTTAGAAATTATTCATTTATCTGAAATGCAAATTTAACTGGACATGATTAAATTTTATTTGCTAAATCTGGCAATCCTATCCATGTAGCAACCACAGTCATCCTTTTAAAATGTAAATTAGCTCAATTCTAGAAGAGAGCCAGACAGTAACTTCTCTGACATCGGCCATAGCAACATTTTTCTAGATAGGTCTTCTCAGGCCAGGGAAATAAAAGTAAAAAATAAACTATTGGAACTATATCAAAATAAAAAGCTTCTGCACTGCAAAGGAAACAATCAACAAAACTAAAAGGCAACCTACTGAATAGGAGGAGATAACTGCAAATGACATATCTGATAAAGGGCTAGCATCCAAAATATATAAAGAACTGATAAAACCCAACACCCAAAAAACAAATAAGCCAATTAAAAATGGGCAGAAGACATGAACAGATATTTCTCCAAAGAAGAAATACAGATGCCCAACAGACACATGGGAAGATGCTCAATATCACTCATCATCAGGGAAATGCAAGTCAAAACCAATGAGATGTCACCTCACACCTGTCAGCATGGCTAAAATCAACAACTCAAGAAACAACAGGTGTTGGCAAGGATGTGGAGAAAAAGGAACACTTATGCACTGTTGGTAGGAATGCAAACTGGTGCAGCCACTGTGGAAAACAGTATGGAGGTTCCTCAAAAAATTAAAAATAGAACTACCCTACGATCAGGAATTGCACTACTGGGTATTTACCCAAAAAATACAAAAATACTAATTCAAAAGGATACATGCACCCTTATGTTTATAGCAGCATTATCTACAACAGCCAAGATATGGAAGCAGCCCAAGTGTCCATCAACAAATGAATGGATAAAAAAGTGGTGGTATGTGTGTGCATATTATCAATATCTATATCTATAATGGAATATTATTCAACCATAAAAAATGAAATCTTGCCATTTGCAACAGTAAGGATGGATCTAGAAAGTATAATGCTAAGCAAAATAAGTCAGAGAAAAACAAATGCCATGTGATTTCACTCATATGTGGAATTTAAGAAACAAAACAAATGAGCAAAGGGGAAAGAGAGAGAGAGAGACAAAGCAAGAAACAGACTCCTAATGATAGAAAACAATCTGATGGTTATCAGAAGGGAGGTGGGTGGGGGGAAAGGTGAAATAGGTGATGAGGATTAAGGAGTGCACTTGTTGTGATGAGCATCAGGTGTTGCATGGAAGTGTTGAATTACTATATTGTACACCGGAAACTAATACTGTACTGTATGTTAACTAACTGGAATTAAAATGAAATAAAATGAATAAAATAAATAAAATGTAAATTAGCTCATAACATCCATCTGCTCAAAATCCACCAATAGCTTCCCATCTCTGAGCTTCCCATCTCTGAGCAAAGTCCTTACCTTGATCTTCCTTCCCCGGTTCTTCTTGAACCTCATTCCTTACCGCTCTCTTCCTCTGCCACTCAACCCAGCCACACTGGCTTCCTTGTTGTGCCTCACACTTCCCTCAGATAGCCACATTGCTAGCTGCTTCACTTTCTTTAGGTTTTTGTTCAGATGGGATTACCTTCTCAGTGAAGCCTTCTCTGATCACCCTTTAAAAACTGGAGCCATCCTATCCTCTGTCACCTCCCCCTGCCTTTTCTCCATCACGTGTCATCTTTAACATACCACATTTACACATATTTGTTGGTTTGTTCTCTAGTTCCCTGACAAAACATATGGTCCACGAGGGCAGGCACTGTGTTTTGTTCAAGCTGGATATCCAGCCCCAGAACCCTGCTTGGCACATCAATAAATATTTGCTGAACCAATGATGAAACCAAGGGCAAGAAGCACAGCCAAGAAAGCCCAGAAACAAGGGGGGTTTGTTTTGTTTTTCTTTCTCTGCAGGCCTGCTCTAATCTTTCCCCACTTACTCATCTTGCTCAATGCCCCCTTTGGCTGCCTTCCCACATCTCACCAGGACTTTTCAGGGGCATCATCAAAAGACTGGAATGATCTGATCAGCTCAGCTCACCCTCCCTTCCTCTCTCTCTTTCCCTCTATCCTTGCTTCCCTTCTCCCCTCCCTCCCTCCTTCCCTATCTCTCCGTGCCACTTGTGTTTTTAATATTTTTAATGAATGACTAATATTTCTAAAAACAGACTTTATGTTCTTAGTATGCCAAACAGGAGTGGTATTTCTCTGACACTGACACTTTTTAAAGAGCTTTTCCCTCCATGTGGATTTCACAAGAAGTAGGCAGAGATTATGACATTTTTATAAAGGAGAAACCAGAGGTTCAGAAATGTGAAGAGAATTGCCTAAGGTCATAGAGCTCATAGGAGGCATAACTGGGACTTCAGCAGCTCTGTTTGCCTCTGCCTGGTGCAGAGCTCATCATCACATCACACTTCCTTTGACAGGGCCTTGGGAAGAAGAAGAATACAACCAGTTCCACATGGATCTCTGCAGCCACACCGCATACATAGGAAACTATTACTGCTGCCTCTCCGTTCATAAACAGGTTAAGATACAAACATTAGGTAAAAGTTAGCTCTGCTCAGGAAACAGAAAGCAGGCTATCATGTGGGAGGCAGGGAACAAAGTGTAGTGGATTTTCAAAGCAGAAAGATAAGGGAAGCTTCCAAAAGTCATACTCTTTCCGGGTCTACCAGTCAGCTAAGTTGTAGAGCTGAACAGGCTGGTTACAAGGAAGGTGGCCCTGGATTTGAATCCTGGATCTGCCACTAACTTGCTACATAACCTTAAGCAAGTGATAACTTTGCTGAATTTACTTACTGAATTACTTATCCAATTTCCACACTGGTAAAATGATCATTGTAGCAGCAACTTTATCAACTTTTTTTTAGATTTATTTATTTATATTTAGAGCAAGAGAGAGAGAGAGAGAGCACAAGTGGGAGGGTCAGAGAGAGAAGGAGAGAGAATCTCAAGCAGACTCCATGCTGAGCATGGAGCCCAACACAGGGCTCATTCTCACAACCATGACCTGAGCTAATACCAAGGGTCAGACGCACAACTGACTGTGCCACCCAGGTGTCCTACTTTATAGACTTCTGTGTGTACATAATGTATATAAGCTTTTATGGTGCTCACACATAGCTGTTATCACATAAAAGTTGTCTGTATAGGGCTGCTGGGTGATTCAGAGGAAGTCAATGGGGCCCTGGGGCTCAGAGATGAGAGCACAAGAAATGGGAGCAGGGGCTTCTCAATTTCTTTTCCTTTATTCCTCTCTTCCTCCTTCCCTCACGTTACTTTATTTTTAGTTATAAAGACAGTAGAGCAACAATTTTTAAAGAAGTTTAGGAGTAGAGAAGAAAAATGCAAAGGAAACGCTCATAACCTCAGTATGGTAACTGAAACATCTTACTTTGTCCATACTTAAGAGTCAGTTTGCATTCTCTAAATATTGTGTTTTGAAACATCTTCTGTGTTGCCTCTTAGGATAGGTTGTGCTTCAGTATCAAACAACACCCAAATCTCAGAAACTTAACATGATAAGAGTTTATTCCTTATTTACCCAATTCCCCCTATGGACCTGAGTGACTCTCGTGCAGTTATCCACCATGTGGTGACTTAAAGATGAAGACACCTTGAACCTTATGGCACCTCCATCTGAACACACAGTCTTCTCCCTGACTGTGATGGAGAATCAGGCGTGGGCTCTTAAACGCTTGAGCCCAGAAGAATATTTATCACTTCCTAGTCACGAGGCCATATCTTACAACAAGGCAGAGTGTGGGGAGGCCTGGGAAATGTAGTCTTCCATGTGTCCAGGAAGAAGAAAATTGAGAGTACTGTTGAGCCATCTTTTATGCAACTGCTTTTTTTTAAGACTCCATTTATTTATTTGACAGAGAAAGAGACACAGCGAGAGAGGGAACACAAGCAGAGGGAGAGGGAGAGGGAGAAGCAGGCTTCCCGCGGAGCAGGGAGCCCGATGCGGGGCTCGATCCCAGGACCCTGG